TTCGGGTGATTCGAGAATGTAGCATTTACTGGAAACTTGGCAATGGGGAAGAAAAGGTGTAAATCACTTTGGGCAAGGAATCGATTGGGTTTCAGGACTGATTGAGAAAATCACGACGATTTTTCTTTCTCCGTTCAATTTCAATTTAAATCGAATCATCCGAGGCGTAGTGCGCCGGCCTTTTAATATTCAAAGGACGACCCGAAGGGTGGCACTGGCTAATGAAGAGAGACTCGCAAATCGAGTTCTCAGAAGTCACGGCTCACTTTAAAACGGAACTTTAAACTCTGTGCGTGCGTATCTTCCATATTTCGATCAGGCTGCATTATTCATACCGATAATAGCCGATTCCAATTCTTTTGAGAACGTGCTGCGCGCGGTGATATCTCGCGGCACAATTGACGGGATGAGATCGCGATGAAAAATTATCGTACAACAAAATGGCAAGAATTACATTTAAAAACGTATGTATGTACATATATGTATACAGGGGCACCTAAAGGAACAACTAATTATCTCATTTCCCAAAAATGTTATCCACATGGGATATAAAGAATAATGTATCTTTATCACCTACTTATTTTACATATATGTATATAAAAAATAAAATCATTACATGAAATCCTTTATTTTCATCTATACCTATATTGATTTCCTTAAAAAAAAAAATACGATAAAAACAGTTTTGCAATATATCAAGCACAAACTTATGTGTTTATATATACATAATTAATAACGATTTATCGATCAATATCCTTCAACATTGAGAACTAAACTAGAAAATATTTTTTTTTGGCTAAAAAAGAAAAATTTACCTAATTTTCCATAAGTCGATTGATCTTCGGCGTTCTAACGAAGTTGAACGATGATTCGGTATTTTTGTTTCTTTCCTTTTTGCCAACCCAGGGCCCACGCAGTATCGATATGTTTTCCCAGATATTTGCACCGCATCTACGATCTATCACTCGTCTATATTCGTATTTGTAATATAGCATATATGTGGGGGAGGTGGTGCCCCAAAGGCAATGGGGAAACAGGACGCTTGTTTCCCACGTTGGACCACGAGCCTCGGGGCTACTCCATAGGGACATGGGGAGCACTTCACCATAGTTGCATACTCTCTATGGTTATACTGTATTCCTGTATTGCATTGTCTTCTAATTAACGCCCCCCTATGTGTACATGTACCATCGCGCAACGAAATTTCATGTTGAGTAACAATGGCGCTATCGACTCGCGTGCTCTCGACTTTTCAATCTTTTGCCAATAAATTGAGGAGACACTCATGAGATTAGTATGATGATTAATGCGAATGACTATGAACAACTTGTATCGTATGTATTTTTTAGTTTTTGAAGTTGGCTCGTTCCAATGAAACGTTTGTAATGCCTGTACGAGTCTGCTGCGATCGATAGATATAATCAATCATTTATCATTAATTTTAATGGCTATGGTAATTTTTACATTTTCCAAGAGACGCATGCGCGAATTATAATTTATTAATCGAATCAGCGAGATAACCTGAAAATTTCACGTTCATACATGGTTCATCGAAACGGTCCTGCGCGATCATCATGGATATCCGCCATATTCGATTTAACATTATGAATTTTACATTTCCAACTACAGATTCAAATTCAGTCATGTGAGTCTCATGAAAATCGAACTGATAGTTTCTGAACCGAACGGGGGTGTCTACTGCAGTGAATGGCTGTAAGGGGTTAAACTAGCGTTATTTTATTGAATACGCATACGTATCAAATATCCTATGTACTTTACATTGAAGACTAAGGATTATATCATGGATGCACATGTGTGATGCAAATGCAAATTGATCAAATTATATTATTCAAATTTAATGAAACTGTCTGGCTGCCACCCTTAATATAGAAGCTGATCAAAAAGCATTTCTTTAACGCACTCTGCTGTGTTTTCCATCGTTTGAAATTATTTTTCAAGTATACATCCTCCTAATGGGCATTTATTTTTCAACAAAAAGTTCAATCCTGTGTTGGAAAATAATCTATTATACATGAAGTTAAAAAAAAAAGTGTTACATTCAGCAATGCAAATATGTGACCGGAAACGACAGAAAAACGAAATTCCTTTTTACACTTTGGTTCGAAACACCGAGAGTTCACTGTTGAAGTATAAATGTGCACAGCCCCTATGATAAGGGTCCAAAAAAGATACAAAGCATTTTAATCATTCGTACCGTTGAAATAGTTTTTGTTTGGAAAAAAATGTAAATTAATCTTTTAAACCTTGCAAAAATCCTGTATTGACAGTGGCTTGGTCTGATCACGGCAACCAATTTTTTAATATTGGTAATTAACACTGCATCGATAAATTAAGTGGTTTGTTTTTCTCTGATGTTCGTTTTTCTCAAAAACTGTAGTTTGATTTCATGCAAAAAATTTTGTATACACTAGTACTACCTGTCTGCAGCCAAAGAATTTTTGCTCTATGAAAGCCCCGCTTATTCGCATACATCAAGATGTCAAATAATGAGCACTCTGGGTAACGATTGTATTCTAAAAATGTGATCTTAGACACCTTGACAATCTATATTGTAAATCTCAGAACAGTTATCTCACATTATACCAAAGCAAAACATCTCCATATCGATCCTGCTGTAATCTCAACTTTCCTCTTATTACGTGAAACTTATGAATTCACTTGTTAAATTATTATGCTAAAACATTTTCTTTTCTTTTAGAACTCCTGCGCTTTTCATTCCTATCTACGTATTAATACGTAATGTTCACTTATGCGATTACATATTCACGGATCATCTTCATAATTAAGATTGGATACTGTACATGACTAAATACGAACTTCGGTAGATCCAAGTTTAATATTTTATTTTCATGCAAATTATTCGTATTCCTTAGAATAGATGCACGTTACTTAGAAAGCCAAAGTTAGATACCGACACCCATATAATATTCTTAAGATAAATCACACTATTGTGTACAGACCACGTCGAAGTTATACTGTAATGATGAGACTGCGTAAATTGACAATGGGACTCGCGAAATGGCAAATGAAATTACTTAATATATTTTAAGTATTAAAAATGGTCAAATCCAATGTCACCAGGTATTGTCTTTCCAGGTTTTAAGATAGTCGAAAAAATTTCGGTCTTCGTGGAAAGGCGATTCAGTTCAGCTTGCGATTATTAGAACAGCCAAAAGTTAGTTACATTTAAGTGTACTGAAAAATAAAGTGCTTGGTATTTTCTCATTAGTAATAAAAAAAAAAAAAAAATTTCGACAGAGACGCAACCACTTTTATGACTGACTGTACTTGTAATTACTTAATCGATCGGCGACACTAAGCCGACAGCTTTATTAGACCCTTTTTCCTCGTATTTTCAATAATGAGAGTCTAAGTCTATAAATATATTAAGTGCAAATTGAATAAGGTAAACTTGCGATACGGCTAAAAATAACCGACAGCTAGCGCGTAGCCTAGTGGCACTCTCTCTGACGTATGAAATCTGGTATTATTATTAACTTGTTGAGCAATTAATAAAATATTTCGTAATTTCATTAAAAGATAGATTTTCATCCATTTTATAATATACTAATTTCTTTTGCAGGAAACAGTACTTTCATAAGTCTGCAACTCATTGTGTCTCCTCGCGATGAATTATTTCTCTTTAATTCTTTCTCTCGCATCAACTTCCGTCCGATCGCCGAGACTTTTCCTGAAGAGCCGTGAGCCGAGAAAGACTTCGTTAAAGTTCCCGCGAGGCAAATGAAATAGAATTAATAACGACCTGGTGTCAGAATCTGACGCACCTTATTCAGTAATTTAAGTAATAACTCGGGGTTGCCTATCTTGGATTAAACTTTTCTTAATACCCATAGACGTTCCGTGAATTCTCTTGCCATACGTAAAGAATAAATAAACAGTTACTTCGTTCAAGTAATCCGAGTGGAATTATACGTAATACTATTATAATTATTAATAATCGTATCACTGAGGCCATTGATTCGCAGTAATGAATTTTACTCGACTTTAATGTCGAATTCACTTTTTTTTTTAACTTGACTGATCAATACAAATTATACATTTATATATAAATTTTGGACAATTATTTTTAGCAGTATAATTATTTAACAATAAATTGTATGTCTCGATTATAATTGCCACATATTTTGTTCTAGTATCGATTTAAATAACTTTCTATCATGATAGAACTTGGTAAACAGAGCGGCGCCACAGTTGACTCTTTTACAATGGTGTTTGATGTTTTAAAGGAACAGAAAAAAAAACTATCAGTATGGTGGTTAACGCACGTCGAAGGCAGAACTATACTAAATATAGTTTATACAGCACACTGATGTCTGCTCGGATCAACGGTATTGCTTACGACTCAATTATATTTTAAGCCGCTGCCAAGAGTCCCTTTGAGGCCTGTCGGATGCTTACCATTTGGCATGGACGTGTCTTTGAATATCGTTTGAAATCGTCTCTTTCACCAACGCGAAAGGACTCGGTTGCGTTTGTACCGCGATGAAAAAAAAAAAAAAAAAAAAAAAAAATTTTT